GTACTTAAAACCAATAAATAAACAACTTTTTGTATCAAAAGGAAATGTAAATGATGATTCATCTATCTGTGCACCTGTTTTGAACATTTAATTGGTGAGGAATTTATTGTTTCACCTGCAATGGTAGTTTTAAGGACAGTGATAGGAATAAAATACTGTATTTTGTTGCAAGAAGAAATTCAATGTCAATTGATATATTAAAATTTAATAAAGTTTCTTTACAAGTTAAAAAAATAATACTGTATTTTTGTGGATTTACCAGCATGTCAGTCTATCTGGGGAGACCACGAAATCAGATATTTCCACATAACAAAAACTGGGATGTCAGTTTAAGTGAGGTTATACACCCTTCTCTAGAGGGCACATTAAAAAACAAGAGTTACATCAGGTAAAAACAAACAAGTTTTTATTCTGAAACTATCAGCATTACATCAAAAACTACAATTACATGTTTAATTTCTTCATTTTGTCTTCTTTCTAATGTAAGATACTTGTGGAATTCCAAAAGTGTTTTTTTTTAATGTTATTTTATTGTTATTCAATTCAAAAATGCAAAAATAAACATATTAAATTTAAGAAACTGGTTGTAAATTATCTCAGCTTACTCCAATTAATTCATTAATAAGTCATTAATTGTTTTATTGTCTTCTTTTAAACAAAAACTTTCTTCTTGATTATGTATATATATATATATATATATATTTAAAAATAGAATTTACTTAAATTTATTAAATCGGCCATCAATTTTTCGATAAATTCGTACAGGAAATGAGCAATGATGAGACATTTTATTTTTACATATATTTTTAATATGTAAACTCTTTAGTAATTTTAAAAATAGTGAAATAAAATATATACATATTTATATAATCTATAAATCATTTAGTTTGTATTAAAAGATAAAGAAGAAATCTGTACCTATGTCACGTGCAATGCGTTTCGTTGCGTGACAATTCCGTGACAGATGTGATAATTTACTCTTTGCTGTTGCACAGTTTCGTAAATGAATGAGGAAAATTTTCATTTCGTTGCATTTGTGTCTACACGAGATTTCATTTTAAGCATTATGTGTATTAACAGATACTATAAATATATTTAACTGTTTGTTTTATTATAAACCTTAGCAACCCTGTCGTAAGATATCTATAGTGGGCCCGAGTTTAGGGTTAAGAATGCGTGGAATCTACATTCATAATGTTAGCTAAAGCAGGGTATATATATATATATACAGTAATAAATAAGAGAATCAATACGTAGCTTTAAGGGAATTTCGATCTAGAAAGGAAGAAATTATTTCAGAGTTTAGCTTAATTAAGTAAGGAAGCGTGTGTTTAAATTTAAAATGAAAAATAGAGAGACGATTCAAAAAATGTTAAAGTTAATGTGGAAATAACTTGTCATGCAAGATTTGTAATGGTGTAATTCTCCATCACGTGTAAAAGTCACGACTCAATTGTGATGTTCTAATAAAAGCATGGCCCTACTACCCATGCTGCAGTGATTGCACACCTATATCGTTATAAAGAATGTTAGGTACATCCTTTATAAGTATAAAGTTAAAAAAATGCTGTACAATAATAGTAGATAAATAGCATAAATTCTAGTATTGGTACAGAAAAAGGTATTGGAAATTCACATCGTGTCCTTAAGGTTAAATTCTAAGTTATACTTCATTTGTTAGATTTATGTAATGTAATTTTAAATATAATGGGATATACAAGGATACGTTAATAAATCGTATTCAGTCTAAACGGATTCTACACGTGTTAATGAAGGATTTTTCAAGGATAGATTCTGAATCCTTCATTAAAGAATTTATCGAAAAAATCTAATTTAAATTCGTAAACTAAAACTGTAAGATAGAGCTTTGACTTTACAACATACATATTTTTCATCTTCTATTGTTATATAAATAATGGATTCTCTATAGGATCATATACAATAATACTGAATTATGGATCCAGAAAACAGAATTAAATCGTTACATCTTCTATATTTCCTAAGAATAAAACTTATAACGAGTAATTATTTTATTGTGAGATCGTCAAAATTCCAGTTTACAATTTTAATAATATTTTTAATTTATTCAAATTGCAGCCCAACATAGCTAAAGTGTTCATATTCAATTTTTAAATTAAAAAAAAAAACAAAAAGACAGCATTATCACACATTAATCTGGAAAGATTATCCGCATCTCAGTTTAACTTGTAAATAAATATAAAGCAATGAATTATACAACTTTCACTCAATAGAGATCAACTGATTTATTTTCTCATTTAAGTCCAGTGACTTTATTACATTGATTCTCATAAAGCCTTAATAAGAAAAGCTAATCCTAAACATAAAACTCATACTAATTGTTCGCTATGAGACTTATATATTAACGAATAAAACTGTAAATATAAAGTCATAATCCTAAAATTACATTTTTATCATAAAGTTTCAGAATGGTAATGCGAAGTGAAGCAGTATAAATCCTAAACAAAACACGAATTCACTTGGCAATTCGTTCGTGTTTTGATTGCTCTTAAGTCTTTTATTATAAAGCTTATCGTGAGTGCTAATGCTGCCGAATGCGTTGTAAATATTTGAATAAGGAATTCTTCGTGAAAGACTCACTTTATTATAAAAATATGCTAAAGGAGGGGACAAAAAAAAANCATAAAGTGACACGTGTCATAACTGTTTATATAGTACTAGTAGCCTGGGACGCCCCCTAGTGGGCGTTCTTTACAAATTTCCATGAGGCACGGTTCCTTTGACTTTTTTGTTCCTATCAATATGCTCTACAGCTCTGTTAAAATCCGAATGGTAAGATTTACCCTCCGAATGAAGAGGTGGCGAACCCTCAAACCGTAGACCCCTGTATTAACAATAAAGTCAAAGGAACCATAGTCCTACTCGCGACCCTTCAAGAGACATATATAAGCCCCTAAAATAATAAATTCCTATTACAAATATACTGAATTATTTATATTGTTATATTGACCAAATAATAATTTATTGGCCACATGAATAATAAACATTTATATTGTTAATTTAAATAAGAATTAAAATTGTTAATTTGAATGTTTGAAATATGACACACGATAGTGGCGCCTCTAGTGTCTGTTTTCAAACGGTTATGGGACAGACGGACAGTTGAATGGGTTATATATATAGATTTGATAGATAAATGTCATAGCTCTAGAAATAGCAAGAACAGACCAAGTTACTATAATAACATTAGTGCAAATTGAAACGCTGTACAGTATTAATTACTTATATTAATTAAACGTTTTTACTTACAACAAGTGCTACTTTCATTTCTTCAGTCACTTGAGGAAATACAGTTTCAAAATCAAGATTTTTCTTCACGATATTTACAATTGTATCGAACACGTAATTACTGGATTGTTTTGGAATTAAAGCTTAAAAGTAAATTACAAATAAAAGATAAATATTAATGTTTTCGTGTTTTATATACAATTTTTATTGATTAGCAACGTTATTTTTTTAGTCAGGACGTCTTCGTTTGTGTATGTGTAAGCTATCATTAACGTGAAAAATTTATATTCTTAGACATACTTAATGGCTTAGAATTGTAAGTTAAAGGATATAAGGCGTGACACATGAAAGGGACAAGGATCAGTTCCATGCAAACAGAACATTGAGACGAATTTCTCACTCTAACGATCCATCCCAGGAGTTTAGAATGGAATTCTTAATAAGTAACTTAATATAAACGTATAATTCTTTAGATACATTAACTAAATATAAACATTTTAAACGGATAATTCTCAGACACCATTCAACAGAGTTGTAGTATTTAATTGTAGAGAAAATTTTCATTTTGAAACTTTAACATATTTCAAGCTAGAAAATTAACTTTCATATTAAATTCGCGAATATATTTTACACGAATTTATATCAAAGAAAATTTAATATAATAATATAATAAATAATTATATAAAAATATTTTAACTCAAAGTTCAACTCTCCATAATTTATCATCTTATTTACTACTTAATCTGCGAATGATTTACTCGAGAAAATCAATTAATTTTTAACATTAATTAACATTTTTATTTTATTTTAAATTTTTAATTTGTTAATTGAAAGAAGGGAAATTAATATTTTGCAAAATATATATATATTTTTTTTCTAAGATATAACTTATATTTATTAAGGTGAACACAATTTATTTGTGGATAGAGAAATTTAAGGATGGAATTTCTCTAATCTTATTACGCTTACGAGTCTCCTGGAGTATTATTACGTATCCTCACGTGTTTTTTTAGTCATAAACAATGGAAATTTATATAAAAATCACACATAAATGTAAGCAGCTTACTGATAAAAGTAGCTCGATTTGTGATATCGCATATCTTCCCTTACCATAAATTCCATCCCTGAAAGGTCACTTATATAATCATTGTTCCTTCTACAATTGGTTTAACTGTAAATAGATAAAAGAGGGTGGTCCATAACCTTATTTTTTTTTCTAACAAAACAAAGGAATCTCTGGACCATTTGAGCGGATTTTCGTTTGACTTATTGAATCATTACCCAAAATCCGATGTCAGGTAAACGACCGATTTACTGGTAAATAATCTTGTTCCAACTGTTCCAACATTTGAGATGGAGAAAAGATTTGACCCCGAATTGTTAAATTTGAATAAGAAATTTTCGTGAATTTATTTTATCGTTTTTAAGTTTTATCTTTCTCCAAAAAAATGTCAATTTTTTTTTATTCCTTTTTTTAAAACCAAAATTATAAATATGTTTATAATGGCGATCAAATGTAGTTTAAGGAAACAAATTAAATATTGTTATTGTTGACGAAATTTAAATATATATTTATGTACAGTCGAATGTCCAATAAAGAATCACCTCTAAACAACGGCCATTTTTTTTTTGTATTTCTGTCTATGACGTTGTTCGGATGTTTGACTGTATAAAAATTCGATGGCTTTTTATTTATTTATTTGTTTTTTTTTCCTGAATTTTTGATTTCGGAGGAGAAGATGGAGAAGAGAAGAAAAGAGAAAAGAGCAGAAGAGAAGGAAAGATAGACGTGAAGAGAATAGAGAAGAGGAGAGAAGAAAAAAGTGGAGAAAGTAGAAAAAAGAGAGAAGTGGAGAAAACAGAAGAGAATAGAGGAGAGAAGAGAGAAGTGAAGAGAATAGAGAAGAGGAGAGAATAGAAAAGATGAGAGAAGAGAAAAGTGAAAAGAATTTAAAAAAAGAGGAGAGAAGAGAGAAGTGAAGAGAATAAAAGTGAAAAGAGGAGAAGAGAAGTGAAGAGAATAGAGAAAAGGATAGAATAGAAAAAGAAGAGACTAGAGAGAAGACAAAAATAAAACAGAAAACAAGATAGAAGGATCTATATCAAATAATATATATAATATGATAAAAATCCTTCTTTCTTATTTTCTCCTCTTCTCTTTTCTCACTTCTTTCTTCTCTCCACTTCTCTATTCTCTTCTGTATAATATATATATATTCTTTATTTAAATATAACAATTGAATTTTTAAATTACGATCCCTTATGTAAGTTTAAAAATAAATAAATGAAAAGAAGAATAAAGGGGAAAAAAGTTTAAATGTGGATAGCGTAAGAAGAATGTTAACAATTTGAAACTGTATGGAATGTTCAAGATTTTTACGATAACTAAACTATGAAGGGAATTCGAGGCTTTTATTTCTTTTTATCTCTTATAAACGTAGATAAAGCTGGCTGATATATATTTTTTTCATTCTTACTCACACACATATATATATAGATTTTCCAAGAGTTATGTTGTTATAGCTTAAGTTTTTGGTAGAATTACAACGGATACCAATCGATAGATGAAAAGTCATCCATCATTTTAGAAACACAAAAATGTTAGGACAATGTGACAGCTTGTAGTTGGATGTTACACACTTTGAAACACATTTCATAGCGTCTTGTGTAAGGTTGTCCCCCTTTTTTTCGTCACTTTAATAGGTCAGGTTGTGGATTCCTACTAAATTGTTCATTATAAAATAAATCGATAAATGAGCAGTTGTTTTATATTCTGCAACCATTATTCTAACTGTTTTCTATCGTGTGAAATGACACTGATTGGTTTGTTATGGGTGCTAGTTGCATGTTAATGAATGAAAACACCGTTCAGTTTAATGTAAAATTAGTCAAAATAAATGATCTGGTATGGATATTGTTTAGCATTTTTATAATAGAATATAGTGTTTTTCTGCTTTTTAAATCGTTGTAATGTCGATTTTTATGCTCCTACAGATCTAAACGTGATCATTTTTAAGGATAAAGATTTATGTCAAGTCGTACTGCCCCCGTTTTCTATGCGAAAACAGTTGCATGTGAACGTAAATTATAGTAAACATCCATTATATATTATATAGAGCAAGCCATTTCTTATGTTTTTTTTTAAAAAACAATTCTAAACAATTGTGTGTAAATATTATTATTTTAAACAGGGTTGGACTTAGACTTGTTGTGGTCATAAGCTATAACAGTCTCTGCCCTTCCGACAAATAATGACACACGTAAAAATGTAAGGCCCTAGACTATGATATAACAGCCTCTTCCACTTTATCATATATGTAAAAATTTGAGGCCCTAAACTTCAGCTTGTTTATCTTAATTGCAAATCCGGTCTTAGAAAACACTCATGCATATAATAAGAAAATAATTTTATAAAAATTATTACATTAAAAGTAATGGAAGTGAGTTTATTTTATGGCGTTATAAATTATGTTTTCACACAAGAAAAACTAAAAAGTAAAAAAAAAAAATTGCATGTAAACTCATCTAACTTCCATTAACCTTAAGGCAAAATTGCATTCGGACCATTATCTAAAAGTTTAGTTTAATGTGCATCCAGTTTAACAATACACAACGATTATTTCGGAATCATGACGTAATTTAAATATTCAAATTATCGACGATAATTGGTCGAAACTTTTACTGATAAGAAGAATTCGAATGTAATTTTTTTCCATTATTACGTCAGGAAAGAAAAACCCCTCTGGCCAATTAAAAAATACTTTCTGTATTTTAATATATACAAAAAACTTTTTCTCTTCTTCTCACTTTCACTCAATTCGTGCCATAAAATTTAATTATCTTTCTTCTTTTATTATTAAACAGATCCTTTACAAGTTCAATGTATATAGTTAATAAGTAATAAATTACGTGCTTACGAGTCGTTCCTTGTCGTGATACTTATTATATTTTTATATGAAAGCCTATAGTAGTTATTTACATAAATTATAATTTCCTTTCATCACATGAAAAAATTTAAATTAATTTTCTCTTTATTCCACTCGCAAATCTGTTTTCCAGTATCTGAAATTTGTAAATGCTTGGCTAACAGATTAAGATTCTAGAAAATACGATGCCCATTTTTGCCCACTCTTTGACAGTTTCTTCTAAAGAATGAAAAATCAAAACGAGCATTATTTTGCATTCATCAAGAGCATAAAGAGTTTCTTCGTATTCGCATCATTTTCCGTGCATCAGGAGCATAAAGAGTCTCTTGGTACCTGCATCATTTTCCGTGCATCAAGAGCATCAAAAGAATCCTGATGCTCGCACCATTTTTCATTCATCAAGAGTTTTCTTTTGTTTTGCATCATTTTCCGTGCATCAAGAGCATCAAAAAAATCCTGATGCTCGCACCATTTTTCATTCATCAAGAGCATCAAGAGTTCTTTTTATTTTGCATCATTTTTCGTGCATCAAGAACATTAAAAGAATCCTGATGCTCGCACCATTTTAAATTCATCAAAACACCAAGAGTCTCTTGGAACTTTCATCATTTTGCATTTATCAGAAACATCAAAAGAATCTTGATGCATGTACCATTTTGAATTCATCAAGAGCAACAAGAGTCTCTTCGTTTTTTGCATCATTTTCCGTGCATCAAGAGCATCAAACGAATCTTAATGCTTGTAACATTTTCCATTCATCAACCCACTCTTAATGCTCTCATTATTTTCCATTCAAAAAACATTAAAAGAATCCCGATGGCATCATCTTCCATTCCGTACAAGTAACTCGAGACTTTATTTATCAGTATAAACGTTTCCATTCATCTAAAATTACAACGATATAATATCAATTCGATTCCATATTTATCTCGCATTACTGATACAATATATTAAAATTTTCTAGAACAAATCGAGATTTTTAAAATTTCAAATACACCAGACATATTCACACACACCAACTTATACTTTAAATATGCTCATGCGTGTTAAAGCAGTTTTAAAAATAACACTACATCACGAGTTAATACTGTACTTTGTATTCTTTACATGACTTCACCAACGTAATTGTAGAGATATCAGAATAGTGCTACAGCCATTGCATGTCAATGACTTTGATAACTTCTCTCTCTCTCTCTCCACGCTGTTAAACTTCCTCCCTCCCCCCTTTCTGTCTCGTCCTTAAGCAATGAAAGATGCCTGAAAGTCTCGTAACAATACTCCAAATAATAACAATTAAAGGTATTTTATAGCAACGTGTTGTCGTTGGTGACGTATATCAATATGGCAGAAGAGGGAGAGGGGGAAACCTGTAAATCTCGCGAGAATTGCAAGGTTTGTGTTGTGTTCTGTACCGTGCTCCGCTCGTGACGGATGGCCGAAATGCCCAACATAAAGTCTGCAGGTGGTAGATAAGTAATCGGTTTGTCATAGAAATGTATTAAGTTACAATACATTCTTAGATAAAAACATCTACGAAAAATGTCTTTAATATTTATAATTCTTTTAAAGACATGTTTTTTCTATATTTTAAATGGGGGATACGCCTTACTTTCACGTGTTTTTTACTCGGAATCGAGTCATTTCTGTCGTGTAGACCGATTTAAAAGCGAATAATTTAAACAATACAAACCAATTCAAATACTTTAATATCTGTGACATAAGAGCATTCGGTTTTCTTAGAAAGGAAAGTTTTCAACGAGTTTTAAATTATTAATTTGATTTTTACGTGACGTGTATAAAAAAATCATCTGAAATATTTCAGATGGAATAAATTCTTGAAAAACTTATAAAATACGAATTAAAACATTTTAATAAACATTCTAAACCAAAATTATAAATTAATTTTTAGATGTTTTCATTTATTTTTCACTAATTTCAGAAAGTATTTGCATTTCACTCAACAGATGGTGCTAATAGTAAATATATATACTGTATATATTTAAAGTAACGAGCGCCATCTAGATAATAATGAAGATAATTACTGTACTACATTTTTGAATAATTTGAATTAATGAGTGTTAATATATATAAATATTTTGTTAGAAAATGAGGGAAATTTTAATATTTTGATTGATTATTTTCCATTAAGAGACTTAGAAAAAGAATGTTTAACAATCTGATACAAGAAACATTGACAAGTCCACTAATGGACAATTGTGTTGATGATGGGACGAGATGGCAGTCAACTACAAGAAATGGGAGGATCTATTCCTAGATACGGAAAATTACATTGTGTACTTCTAATTTAGAAAGGAGAAATTTCGTTTAACAAACCTTTTTTCTCGTTTTTTAACCGCAAGTTAACAAGGGAGGAAAAAATCCCCAATGTCAAACACCGCTCTAATTAATTATGAAAACATTTTTTAAATAAAAAAAAAAGAAACCAGGATAAAATTACGATAAAAACACAAAAATCTTCATTTAAAAGTTAAATATAGAAGGAAAAAAAATCCTTTTTTTATTTTCTAAAAAAACAATCTCCCTCCCAAACTACATCTAGCTCCATCTGGTGTTTAAAATATTTTTTAAAAAACAATAATAAAAATCGCATTATCCGACTTGCCCGCTTCTATAACAATATTGAAATCTGAATATTATCAATAAATTTTCTTCTATCGCTTCCATAAAGTAAACTGGATTTATTTTAAAGAATATCTTTCAGAAAGGGAGGCGAAATGTATATTTATATAGAAAGAAAATTTAATAATAAAGGAAGAAAAAATTCAAATCCTGGTACCAGTTAATAAAAGGCCGCATCGTATATTAAATGTTATGAACCTTATGAAGTGGACAGAGAGGGGGAGGAGAAAAAAAATAAAATAAAATAAAGTAGTTTAGAAAACTTTATTTTCTCCAGAAACGATTTTTAAGTGAAGAAATTCCGTTTTACAAATCGCATTTGACCAAGCTTTTGCAGTGTGTAATGCAAGGA